TGCTTTTTTCACGTAACTGTCTCATTAAAATATTACATCTAGAACAAGCACCCAAAACACGTAACAAGAGGTCCCAGTTCAGTTGCGTTCACGACACAAGTGTCATACAACTATTAGATTTGAAGTGACGTTCAGAATTTAATAGTTAATACTAGTTGTATGTTCACACTTTACTATCAAAACCACCATTTCGACCACTCATGTGCCAGTGATCAGTGTTTGGGCTAGCGGTCGGTGTTTCAATGAGCGAGCGAGTGAAAAAAAACGCGATTAAAATGCGGACGGTTTCCGGTAGGACAAGACCACATGGTCGGAAATTAAGCGATAAGCGGTCGATGTAAAAGCGGAAGGTTGGGCGAAATGAGTACTGTATGCCCGGACTGTATGACCATGTTTCTCAGACGAAGTCTCGACTGACAATAATGCTAACAATGAACGTTAGATAAACACGCTTTGTTTGCGACGGGAAGCTTATCACCCGTTATATCAGAATCGTCAACAACAGAGTATACAGATAAGATGTTATCATTTAAACCCTTCCAAAGATAAACATTATGCAAATATCCACGAAACAGCAGTTGTAGTCTTTTCTGCTAGCGTTTCAAAACACTAATTTAAGCAACGTTATTTCGCAATTTCGATCTTTTGTAAACCTGGGATGATGTATCAAGGTCTAAAGTAACCGTTTTATCAATTTTTGAAAAATCAAGAAAAAAGTGAAAATTTCCCTTCTCGCTACCTTAAAGTGATTTGAAGAGGAGGAGGGGTCACAACAGTGATATTTTATGAGAACGGCTTGAGTTTTTATATTTCTCTCTCGCATAAGACGAGAACCCGATAAGGCGATTTTCGTTTTAAACCAGTCGATGGGAACGAAATCGTGACACACTGGCGACCGCAATGTGGAATTACCACAAGTACATTCCTGGGAATATTATTATATTCCCCTGCGATGGTTGACTTCGGTATTCCTGATAACTGCGTGAAATAATAAACTTAATGAATCGTAATGTAAAGTTGTATTGTGGTACCAGGTGGCCAACGTAAATGTCCTCTTTCTGGCGGCACCCGGAATGAAATGGAATGTGGTAGGAGTGATACCTTAGTTGTGAGGGGTTTATCGGAGATTGTAGGCTTGCACACAGTCTCTTGTTTATTTGTGTGTGTGTTTTATTAATAAAATAAAATACTATGGGAGTGACGAATAAATGACGAATGCCGGGCAAGTCTACGGAGATTTTTATTGCTCAATTATTTCGTGCGTCTTTCCATAAGCATCACTGTGTACGAAACCAGAGCGTCGATATAGTGGTAGGCTTTCCAAAGTTTATTTACTTTTATTTTTCACACGTCTTCGTCTTTGAAAATAACAATGAATTATAGTTAATAATAAAATACACTGTGTTATAGACATATGTGCACGTTTTACATTGTAGAAAAATACCAAAATATAGCAAGGTAGTATGAGACGAATCGCCATTACGTGAAAAACATGTATATCAAATAGTGAAATATTAAACATGCAAAATATGATATGAACATGTAATTTCTTTTCTACAATTTTATATACCATAAGTTTTCATAAATTAGCTGTGTATTGATAATGACTTCAATTTACTCATATTTATTATTTTAATTATTGTGTTTTCTTCACACCAATGTCAATTTTATTAAAAACATTT